TTTCATGTCATCTGCAAACTTACTGAGGATGTAAATACAGTCAAAGTCATTTTGCAATGATGAAACAACTATTTCTTTGACCTTTCTAAAACCAGTATGGGCTAAATAGCACAAACAACTACAATGAATCTGAGGTTCTGAATTTTACTAGCTATTGAGATGCATAAAGTTTACATATTTTGCTTTTTAAGGAAATGTACTTTCCCACCTTGTATTACTTCATAAACAACCAGTGGGTTTTTTGGTTCTCCTGGCAATCACATGCATTAAACAGATTTGGAATATCAACACACGGAGAGTCCCAGCCCCAAAGATAGCTCAGTGATTTTTACATTAGTATGTGGAGTTAAGCACTACCTAGGGCAGCACACAAGCTTGTGTTCTAAGAGGCAGTTAGATACAAGCTTGAGTTGTGGATTCTTTCATACGTTAGCACAGTAGGTTTTTTTAAACAGGGCATGTATAATCAGCAAATACATCCTGCAAGCCTGCAATATGTCTGTTTTACCACTTAAACCTCCACCATTAACTAAAATAGGTACATTCACTAACAGGTGGTTATTGACAGGGATGATACAATACCATAAGAAATATTCATTATGAATTACAAAAACAACAAATAAAACAAACACCACAGGTGAAGTTCTCATGAATACTGCATCACATTACACCTCCTCTTATCTGTAGTAACAAAGCATCTTTCACACAAACAAGTGAATACATTTATCACACTAAAGCAAGTCATTGTGCTCTTGAAATACATGCACTGGTGCATTATACTGACAAGTTCTGGCAACGTAGGTATTAATCACTTATTCAAAATTCAAGAGTGGTAATGGAAACATTAATGAAGAAATAGATAAAGTGTTTTTACCCTGCCAAACAAGACCTGCATGTTGCACACTGATAGCAAAATCAGGCATGTAAAAATTGTCAAACAGGGCTAACGCAGAAAGATCTGGAATTCTTTGTTGCATTTTTTAATGTGTAAAATAATTTGCTTCCTGGCTAGCAGCTAGCTTTCAAAGCAAGCTAACTCATGTATCTCTGCTTATGCTCACTGGGTGAGGGAACTCTTTAAATGCAAAACATTAAAAAATCTGCTTGTTTATAGTGCAGTATCTTTTCCACTAAAAACAAAACAAAGGAAAGAAACAAAAGGGGGGGGGGAATTCAAGAGCAGTTCAGTTTTGTTATTAAGATAACTTCAAGTCTACAGGAAAAGACAGATGTATTATTCTGGTAGTTACCTACTTTATCTTATAATTCTCCATCAAAACTACATCCACTAATAATAACATAGGAATTGTAAGTGCTGACATGACTCCTAACATCTTTTCCTCATGTTAAGCAACTGAGGACTATCAGAACATGCCTAGGGCAACATATGCTTGTTGTCACTACTGACAGAAAGGCTAGAAGCATGCTTCTCCCAGCCTACAGCTATTGTTTTTAAAGAAAAATATCTATGCAACTGCCTCACTGTGACTGCATTACAAACAAATTTTGATACAGTCATCAGACTTTTCTTTACACCAGCACCTCCGCTGTTCTTACTATTACAGTAAACGTTCAGACTGAAAATGAGATTGCTGGCAATGACAAGCTTGGAAGAGTGAGGGGGAAGGAAATGTAGAAGAGTTCATCTGTTATCCTCCAAAAGCACGTGTACAATGTTATTTCTGCCCCACAAGCAAGTTTCTCCTTAATCTGCTCTAATTGTACTTTCCCCTTTCATTGACATTTCAAATTGTGTAAGTTTAATCAGAACATATCAGAACTGTAAAAGCACATTTCTATGATGCTGTATGGCAAACCCTCAAAAAAATGTAAAGATGGTTGCACATTATGTAAAGATCCAATGCCTTCCTTTAGTAGGACCAGCAAAAAACCAAGAAAGTAGTGAGTAAAACTCTCTTACCCTGATCTTAGATACCAAAACCAGCTATCCAAAAAAACCAAACCAAACCCAGCATCTGCCCTAGCTATCACAGAAAACTAAAAGAAAAAATGGAATTCTTCTCCAGCCCATGCTACTGTTCTAGCCAACTGGACTGCACTTAAATACCTGTTCAACAACTGAGACAGTTCTCAGCTGTGTATTATTGCTAAAGGTTGTCATTACAAAGAAAGAAAAATAGCTAAAATTGCTCAAATTCATTGTGAGCACTTCTGCCAGGTGATCAGATTAATCTGTTTGGTGATTTCAATTATTACCAGAATTGATTAAATAAGCATGCCTGAGCTATTTATGACAAAAAAGCTTCTCAAGTGTGGCTTCAAGCAGACACTGTCTCTGCCGCATCATGGAAGCGACCTTCAAAATTCAAGAAAACTTGTAAAATTTTATCTTTTAGAAGATGACTACAAAACACACATAAGTGTAGCATTTCTAAGTTTCTTATGGTTTTGTTTTTTGGAGCAGGCAGTTATCCTAAAATACCAAAAATAAGAGCTAACACCCTTAACACACCTTATTTTCGAGCAGCTTTAGGCAACAAGTGTCAATTTTGTATGACTGCCATTGACCGTTCTGATATGCAACTGTTATTGTAGTACCTGTACAAATGAAATCATTTCACAGCATTTTATAAACATAGCTTTTTGACAACACTTTGAATTTGCCCAAGAGTATTCCTCATGTTAGAGTTTCAGTTATTCATTTATCTTGAGAAGGACTTTCTGCTTTCCATACAAACTTTACTGGACCTAACAAACAGAAATGTACGCCAAGTGTACCCTTCTACAAATCTGATATGAAGCCAGAGCATAAATGCAACAAAAAATATAGTGATCTTATTGTACCTTTATCACTAAAAGTGACAGTTTCTTACCAAAGGCAGCTCTTATGGATGGCTCCATGAACGATTCGCTATCACCAGGAGGAAGGTCAAAGCGAGTGAAATCTCTGCTTTTCTCATTGTTGTACTTCACCTTAAGTCTACTTATTTTGGAGAAATCAATACGCAGAGTGCAGCACCCAGAGTAGATACTTTGGCCATCCAACGCCTGAAGAAAAATAATCATGTTTTCAGAGACAGAACATGTAGTGGCAGCCACCACTCTAAGTTCATTTTGTTTTCACCCCACAATTGTATCCAAACAGAAATTAATCTTCTGGGTTTAGTGTGCTGCTTTTAAACACGAATTAGTTATACTGCCACTGTCCTTACCAAAACATCCTGTGTAAAGTACTAGTGTAGTCCACTAATTAGGAGCTATTATGTCTCCATGTCAATGGACAAAACATATCTTTAAGCATGACTTGTCTTTCTAGCTGTGCTTCTCACCTTACTTGTTTCCTACTCAACACATACTATCAGATACTAGTAGCAATACTAATTCAGAGGTTTTCATTTTATGGAACCACCCCTTACATAAACTGGTGAAGGGCCTGGAGAACACGTCTTATGAGAAGTACTGAGAGAACTAGTTGTTTAGTCTGGATAAGAGGAGGCTGAGGCGAGACCTTATTGCTCTCTACAGTCTCTGCCTGAAAGGAGGTTGTAGTGAGGTGGGGGTGAGCCTCTTCTCCCAAGTAACAAGTGATAGGACAAGAGGAAGTGGCTTCAAGTTGTGCCAGGGGAGGTTTAGATTGGACATTAGGAAAAATTTTCTCACTGAAACAAAGTGTGGGATAGATGAGCGGACAGTGAGGTGGGTTGAGAACTGGCTGAAGGACAGAGCTCAGAGGGTTGTGATCAGGGGTGCTGAGTCCAGCTGCAGGCCTGTAACTAGCGGTGTTCCCCAGGGGTCCATACTGGTTCAGTCTTGTTCATTGTATTCATCAGCGCCCTGGATGAAGTTTTACTTCGTCACTTTGGTCCTTATAACAAAACTCTCATTTTATTCACAAGTTTTCTTCAAGAAAATCTTCTTTGAGACCTAGACAGGCTGGAGAGCTGGGCAGTGAGGAACCTAATGAGGTTCAACAAGGGCAAGTGTAGGGTCCTGCACCTGGGGAGGAATAACCCCACGCACCAGTACAGGCTGGGGTTGACCTGCTGGAGAGCAGCTCTGCGGAGAAGGACCTGGGAGTTCTGGTGGACAGGAAATGGAATGAGCCAGCAGTGTGCCCTTGTGGCCAAGAAGGCCAATGGTACCCTGGAGTGCATTAAGAAGAGTGTGGCCAGCAGGTCAAGGGAGGTTCTCCTCCCCCTCTACTCTGCCCTAGTGTGGCCATATCTGCAGTACTGTGTCCAGCTCCGAGCCCTCCAGTTTAAGAGGGACAGGGAATTACTGGGGAGAGTCCAGTGGAAGGCTCCTAAGGAGATGAGGGGGCTGGAGCATCTCTCCTGCTAGCATGGAGAAGAGAAAACTGAGAGGGGACCTTATCAATGCTTATAAATATCTAAAGGGTAGGTGTCAAGAGGATGGGGCCAGGCTCTTTTCAGTGGTGCCCAGTGATAGAACAAGGGGTAATGGGCACAAACTGGACCATAGGAGGTTCCACGTAAACATAAGGAAAAATTTTTTCCCTGTGAGGATAACAGAGCACTGGGACAGGCTGCCCAGAGAGGTTGTGTAGTCTCCTCTGGAGACACTCAAAACCCGCCTCGATGCAATCCTGTGCAGCCTGCTGTAGGTGAACCTGCTTTAGCAGGGGGGTTGGACCAAATGATTTCTAGAGGTCCCTTCCAACCCCCACCATTCTGTGATTCTGTGAAAGGGTTATCAAGTATTGGAAGAGGCTGCTGAGGAAGTGGTGGAGTCACCAACCCTGGAGATATTTAAAAGATGTGTAGATGTGGCATTTAGTAGCACGGTTTAGTGGTGGATTTACAGTTGGACTCAATGACCTCAAGGGTCTTTTCCAACCTAAATAATTCTATAAAATCCATGTTTTTAAGACCAGCTATGCTAAAAAAGATCACTGAAGTAGTATTTTCTGCCTATACTAGTCATAAAAGAATCAACATGGATGAAGTGGGAAAAAAACCCACTCAAAAGATACTGGTTTGTTAGAATTATTTAATATAATCTAGACTGAAATTTAATAGAATTTATTATTAATACTATTCTTTAAGGAAACCTGCTATTGCTAACAAACAGGCTATAATCCCAATTACCTTTACTATTTCCAATATATACATAATCTCTAAAACACATACTGAATTTACTTTGTCAACTAAAATGCAAGTAGCAATAGATAAATATTCTGTGTCTTTAATTTTGAAGCTGAGAATAAGGTCAACTTCAATAACAAAAGTAGGGTAAAATTTCCATTCACTCTAGTCTTTTGGTAATTTAAAAAAAAAAATGAATTCTAAAGTACTCAGAATCTATTCTTCTATATACTTTCTATGGGAACTTTCAAATTGATTTTATTTCTTTACTAATATTGAGGTGACCACACAGGTTAAAAGAGAAATACTTTAAACTAAGCCTGAGACACTTTGTAAGTAAATCATTCTTTATTTTTTACTTCAGAGTTCAAGTATTACGATGTGATGATTTGTAACACTGCTATCCTTTCTGCAAAAAAGTACTCAATATTTAATTATCAAACTAGCCCCCACTGAGGAAATTAACAATATTTTCTAGAAATCAAAATACTTAGCTATTGTGATGAAACTAATTCTAAAAGTTGTTTGAAAACAATGTATTTGGTTTACATAGAAAAGATTGCAGGGGCTGGGGCGGGGGCGGCACAGGGCAGGGGCCAGAGTGGCAGCATGAGCATAGCAGGCTGCTACGGCTTGTGGGAATAGACATGGGGCTGCCCCATGCTGATAGAGTGAGTCCACCTGGCTCCAAAACAAATCAGCTGCTGCCCAAAATGGAGCCAGTCAGAACACTGGTGGCAACTCTGTGACAACACATCTAAGACAGGGTAAAAAAAAAAAAAAATCACTGTGCAGCAGCTGAGAGAGGAGTGAGAAAAATGTGAGAGAAGGAACCCTGCAGACACCAAGGTCAGAGGAGGAGGAGGAAGAGGATATTGTCCAGGTGCCAGAGCAGAAATTCCGGAGCCGAGAAGACCATGGCGAGGCAGGTGTCCCCTTGCAGCCCATGGAGGTCCACAGTGGAGCAGACGTCCACATTGCAGCCCATGGGAAGGACCCACATTGGAGTAGTATGTGAAGGACTATCCTGTGAGGAGGACCCATGCTGGAGTAGGGGAATAGTGTAAGGAGGAAGGAGCAGCAGAGACAACGTATTACAGACTGACCGCAACCCCCGTTCCCCATGTGCCACTTGGGGGAAAGAGGTAGAAGGGCTGGGAGCAAAGCTGAGCCTGGGAAGAAGGAATAAGGGTGTGTAGAAGGTGTTTTCACTTTTGTTTTTGTTCTTTATTATCCTACTCTATTTTTAATTGGTGATAAATTAAATCAGTGTTCCCTAAGTCAAGTCTGTTATGCTTGTGAAGGTAATTGGTGAGCAATCTCCTTGTCCTTAATCTCAACCCATAGGCCTTTTCATATTTTCTCTCCCCCCGCCCCCGTCCGGCTGTGGAAGGGGAGTGAGAACAGCTTGGTGGGTGTCTGGCAGCCAGACAAAGTTAACCCGCCACAGAAAATACACCTAAGCACCTAGGGGAGCTTTTCTTCATTACTGAGAACGTGCATTTTAAAAATGAGAATACAGCTTGTTTGAAATTAAGAAGTTTAAGGTGAAAACACTGATTGCTGTAAATTTCTCGCTGAAATTCAATCAACTGAAACATGTAACATTCCTCTAATCTCTGGGCTAACTCCACTACTCTTAGTACTGAATCTCACTGAAAATATTACACTTGGTTTGAAAGGCAAAAGACTTTTTGGTCAACTACGGTTACCATCGCTCATCACTACTGACAGCTCTGATTTTTGTTTTGGTAGACTCATGGAGGTATTGGGGTGTGTACTATACATTTATGTTTGTAGTTGATGATAGAGTGCTATCCTCTTAACTAATCAGGTATGTCAAAATTATTCGTGTGCAACAGGAGTGTTAGAATGATGAGGAGTCATCAAGTTAATGACCAAGCTATCCCTAATTTACCTGAGGGCAAAAAAATCCAGCCAACCAACCAATAAAAATCAAGATTAATACACTACACTTACCATTTTGGCACGATATGCATTCATTGGATCACCATACTCCAGCAGAGCTTGAAATTGATTGTTCCTACTGAAGGTAACAATCTTCAAGACAAGCCCAAATTTAGAGAAAATCTGGAAGGAAAAAACATGGACTTTCAGAAACAATGAATAATTAACACACACTAAAACCTGGCATTAAATACTTCATATAAATTTCTGAAAATTATTTCTTTTGTGAGAACTGAACAGCAATTGAGTGAGCTCAGAATTTTGTTTCAGGTAAAAAAAATTCAAGAGAGGCTACAAGAGATGCGGAGAAGGATAAAGTTTCCCTAAAGATTTAGCAAGGAAAGCCAGCCCAAACAAGCATTTGTCCAATGTCTGCTGAGAAATTGTGGATAATCAAAGTTGAGGTCTGAGAAACGAACTTTCAGAAGTCAGTTGAGATGGGAACTGCAAACTGCCTTTCAAGGTATCCACCTTTACATTCTGTACTTCAAACAAATTCTGCAAATTTTATGACAAAAAGTACATCTTACGTAGTTGTTGTGCCTGCAAATTAATTATGCAGTCGCGCTGTCTAAACTAGATGAAAAAGAAGCAAGACAAAGACCTAGTTTGGGACCTACCCCCTCTGAATTACAGTTGAATGGTATTTGATTTATTGCAAATGCAAGCACTGCAGAAAAATTTTAAAAGCTTGAAATTATATATATGTACACTCAAAATGAGAGTGTGCACTACATGGTGTCTGTACAAAAAGCAAAGGCACAAAGAATGAGAGCAAAAGTATAGCTACCATGCAAGTGGAGAAAAAACTATCTCCAAATTAACAGTGGAAGAGGAAAGGTGAATTTGGGAAGTACAGTTTTAGAAAACACCTGCTAGAATCAATGCAAAGTCAGGAAAGCAGAACCCCCTAGACAAGTATTAGGTCTGGAGCAGAAAGAAAGGCTGGAGATAAGGACAAGCAACTCTTGCCAGCGTATTAGGCCTCGAATCATGTATACAAAGACACACTGTCCTAATCTTTTGTGCCCAGTTTTTCAGTCTCTCAGAAACAAGGGTTTTTTGCTGCAGTCATCGGTTTGTGGTAGAAGACAGAACAGAAACCTTTTTCACAGCAATTTAAAATTAGCCATTGAGTTCCTGTTCTTAAAGCACTTCCTTTGAGAAAGGCCAGCTTCTGAACATACGCTTTTCCATGCTTATCCACAAGATTAAATAGACCTTTTTAAGATAATGAAATTCTATGTATTGCTGTTTAGGTTTAAAACCAAAATCCACTGTAATATCAATTTTGTTTCTGCAAAGATAACATTGGATATTCTTATAATAAGTATTTTAAGATGAATTGTGGTAAAAAACCGCGTTAGTTTCTTGACAAGCAGTTATAACTTAGAAAATACAATTGAAGTTTTGGATGACAGCTTGCCTACTAGTGTACCATATGATGATATACTTAACAGTGAAAATTTTCATTTGTATTAGTCTTACCACACTTACAAAGTAATGTAACATTATAACTATCAGGCACAAAGTGCTGCTTTAATTAGAGGAGACTGACCCCTGTTAAGAACTTCAAATAAGCCCCCTTTTCAAATATTGCTTAATTTTCTACACCTGTTGCAAAAGTAGTTGACTGAGGGTCACTGGGCAATTTAAAGACTGAAAACATAGTTCTGCTGTGCTGGAGTAAACATTAATCAAATTAAAGTAAATTATTACGAATCTCTTCTTCCACTACCTCCTTAATAAAAAAACAACAGCAACAAGAAAACAAACAAACAAGATATCCACAGAAGTTTAGCTTCAAGAATTGCTGTTGCAATGTTAAACTAGCACAGCTCCCATAACCACAGTAGTTTGTTCTCAGGTTATTCTGACTGCACTAATAATCCTAAACTAATAATCCTAAACAGTTGACATAGTATTTGCATGAGTTCCATACTGAGTGAACAATACTCAGATAGAAACAAAAGTTTAGAACAGGCAAATTGCGACATCAAAGTGACAACTAGCATATTAATCAGTATCATGGAGGGGAGATCTCTTAATATTTTCTTTCTCTGTAAGAGGAAAAGTAAAGTGTTGATAACAATCAACAATTGTTTGAGATGCTAGCAGAGCAGCAAAAATCTTCTTCCAGGACCGCAGGTTCTTGTAAAAACATCCCAATTATTTTAAGTCGCATTAATTCAAGAAACTCATATTTGGGTATGTTTTTTACTGCACAAATTTACTAGTAAGCTTCAAGTATGAAACCCTTCACAATATCTGAAAAAAGTATTGACGAATCCTTCAGGCACAAAGAAAACAGTGTTGTAAAGTTATTGGTTTTAAAGTTATAGTTCTCAACAGCATAGCACAATCCCTAGCAGAAGTTATCGTAATGTCTTTCATAGCTATAGCCCACCACTATTTCAGGCTTTCAAAAGTAAAGTAAATGACATTCTAACAGTCGATGAACAACCAAAAAACATTTGTCCAAGCAACTATACTTATATATTACATCACTTGCATCAAATTATAAAAGTGAATATTAAAATTTAAAATATAATCCAGAAGACAGAAATTAACTCAGCACAAAGACTGCTAAAATATTGGTCCATAAGTTCAATCAGGATTCCACTAGCTCATCATGTGGGCATAAATTAGAAATAGCACCTCAAGTTTGTTGCTGCTTCCACGGAATCCAAGGAACTAAAAGAAATGGAGGACCATATTAAAAGCTGAGTACAGAAGCTCTGTTTAGTTTGACCTCGGTTTTGTGCGAAATAGATGCAAGCCTAGATCCCTAAACTGCAACAAACCATTTTAAAGTGACAATCATTTTTCAAACAATTACAGATGCACAGGTACTTTAAAAAAAAAAAGTTAATGGATTTACAATGGCAACATTGGAACAAATTTTTTTTTTAAAGAAGTCCTCATTACCTGATGCAGCACCTCTAAACCAACAAAGTAGAAAAGGTTTTCAACAACGATTCGAAGAACAGAACCTTGACATGGAACGAGCCCACCTTCAGCAGCAATAGCTCTCCTAACAGCCACTACTCCAGGCTGTGCAGTATTCTGAGCCTTCAATGCAGCTTGAGCTCTCTGAAATCATGACACAAAGACTACATTTAACTTACACACATACAAATTATTCTTGTCTAAACAAAGTTCTCTTACAAAGAAAAGCATGTAAAATGCACTTAAAATGCAACTTTTTTAAAAAAATTCTCTTTATCTGATTATCGATTCAAATCCCATGTTAATAGGTAAACCATACCTCTTCCTTCCTCCCTCCCCCAAAAGAACTCATCATACTTTGACAGAATTATGACTTTCTTTTTCAGTTAAACTGTTACTACTTTTTAATGCCATATAGATACAATTTTGCTTTGATTCAGTAAGTTTTTGTCATTCAAGCGATTTTCCAGCAAATCAATATGATGACAATATTACAATAGACTTAACCAGTCAGTGTACCAAAAATTGTTTTCTCTGCTTTATTAGAATTTAATTCTCTTCAGGAACTAAGTTTTGCTGGGGAAGTCTCTACGCTTATTTTTGATGGGCTTTCCACAAAAAGGTGTTCAGACTACCTTTCAGAGCACTATGGAGAGATGTTCCTTTCCAAACATAGTGTGACCTGAAGTCATGCCTCAGCAACACTATTTCCTTGGAGGATAAACTAAACATGGCACACAGTAAAGATCTTGCCCAGTTTCAGAAACATGCAATCCTGCAAAATGATCTGTTCTTCAGGCCTGAGCCTAGACACTAGGTCAGTAATGTGTGTTCAGTTTCTTTGCTAGGGTCCCTAAAATTTAAATAAAACTCAAGCTTAAGAGTCATAAGTGCAAAAAATTAAAGTAGATAATGCTGGTTTTATAGAAGGAGAAAATAAGTGTCATGCACTGAGCTGAAAATAGTCTGAGAAACAGATACAAGGAATCTTATTTGCAAATATGCATATAGTTCTCCTGAGGCTGTTACACAGACCAGATCCTTTTTTAAAAAAACTTGTTATTTTAGTTGTTTGTTTTTACAGATAACACACCAATCCAGCAATCCTGGATGAGGAAAGAGACAAATAACATTTATCAGACTGACAAGCTTGCAAGATTTCAGCAACTTTTGTGTCAGCACAAATGAAAAATGGGCACCAATTTTTTGCCCCAATCACTACTTGCAACATTCTTACAGAAAACAAACCTGCGATACACACATCACATTATATACATTATGTATCTAAATGGCAGGTCAATTGCAACTCATCCAGCAATCCAAAAGTACAAACAGGTTTCAACTAAAATATGATGGTTTTATAACTTGATCTTGTTGTGCAAAGAGTATTTCCTTGTTTAGAGATTAAGAATTAAATCAGTCATCTGCAATGTTCAATTCATACTCTTAAAAAAAATCAATGTTTAGTACTTTAAAAATACAAGGAAGAAACTAATTCTGGTATTTGGCATGAAGTTACGCATAAAACTGATGTTTTATTAGTGAAAATACCCATTTATAGGCTCTAGGGTTCTTCGAATAAACAGTCAAAAAAGACAAAACTATTAAGTATAAACTTGAACAACTTAAAGATGATGATTTGCTATTCCTGAGTTTGGCAAGGCCTTGTAACAGTGCCAACAAAGCAAATATTACAAAAGCAGGTTACATGACCCCTCAACAATAACATCCATATCTGATAAAGTAAAAAGCTTCAAAACAGCTGCTTTTAGGGCAGAAAGTGGTACATTCGACATCAGCTGGGTTTGCCCTTCAGATAGCATCTACAGACCCATGATTAGCAATTAAATTTAAGAAAACACAAACTATAAAATTGAAGTTGTATGTTTTTGTGGTATTCCTGCTACTATATTACAGACAGAGTACCAGGGGAGAGGGTGGGGGAAATCAGGACTAATTATTCAGAGAAAAGATTCACAGGAGAAGACATGATATTGTCTTCATATTCTGAAGCTATTGAGAGCTGTTACCTAATGTTAAAACTTAGGAATGGCAACAAAAGTAGAAAAACCATATTGGAAGCAAATATTTCTAAGTAGTATAGAATATAATGGGAGGGTCACCTACAGCAGGCTGCTTAGGACTGTTTCCAGTTAGGTTTTTAACCTATCTGAGGATGAAGACTCCACAACCTCTCAAAGCAATCCATTCCAAAATTTGACCACTCTCACAGGAAAAAAGTTTAAGTTTAAGCGGATTTTTCTGTATTTGAATTGGTGTCCATTGCCTCTTGTCCTGTGACTGGGCACCACTGAAAAGTCTGTCTCCACCTTCTTTACTCTCCTCTCACCATGTATTCACAGACATTGGTAAGATAACCCCGAAGTCTTCTCTTTAGGCTGAAGAGTCTGAGCTCTCGCTGGCTGTATGACAGATGCTCTAATTCCTTAACCATCTTCATGGCCTTTTGCTGGATTTGCGCCACTATGACCACGTCTCTCCTATACTGAGGATCCCAGGACTGGACACAGCATTCCAGACGTCTCTCATCAGCGTTGAGTAGAGAGGAAGGTCACCTCCCTCAATCTCCCAGCAATGCTCTGCTTTCTGCAGCCCAGGAGACTGATGTCTGCCTTCACTGCAAGGGCATGCGTGTTGTCCGCCACGACCCCCACATCATTTTCTGCCAAGCTGCTTTCCAGCTGGTTGGCCCCAGTGTACAATGGTACCTGGGGTTACTCCTCCTCAGGTGCAGGAGTTGGCATTTAGCTTTATTGAACTTAATGAGGTTCCTCCTATCCATTTCTCCAGCTTTTCAAGGTCCCTCTGAATGGCAGCACAACCATCTGGGGTGTCAACTACTCCTTCCTGTTCTGTGTTGTCAGCAAACTTACTGAGGTTGTTCCCCATTCCATCATCCAAGACATTAATGAAGATGTTAAACGGTATCAACCCCTAGCGTACTCCACTAGTGACTGGCCCCCAGCTAGACTTCATGCCACTGGTCTCAACCATTTCAGATCACTTCACAGTCTACTTATCTAGACTGTATTTAATCAGTTTGTCTATTGGGATGTTGTGGGAAACAATGTTGAAAGTCTTACCAAAGTCAAGATAAATAACATCCATTGCTCTCCTCTCATCCACCAGACCAGTCGTCTTACCATAGAAGGTTATGACATTGGTCAGGCATTACTTCCTTTTCAAAAGACAACGCTGACTTTTCCTAAGGACTTCTTGTCCTAAGAATGTTTGGAAATGGTTTCCGGGATTAGTTGTTCCATTACCTTCCCAGGGACCAAGGTAAGGCTGATCAGCCAGCGGTTCCCTGGATCCTCCTTCTTGTCCTTTAAGACAAGAGAGATTTGCTTTCTTCTAGTCCTCAGGAACCTCTTCCAATTTCCATGACCTTTCTGAGATTGTAAGAGTGGCCTTGCAATGTCATAAGCCAGCTCCCTCAGCACTCACAAACGCATCTCATTAGGGCCACAGACTTTCATTTATCCAGTTTGTTTGTCCACTTCCTTCATTAAGACTTTCTTACTGTTCTCAGTTGTTTGGTATTCCTAAGGGCAAGTCTTAACCACTAGAGACTGAGGAGAAGCCATCCAGTACTTTAGCCTTTTCCATGTCCTTTGCCACCAGGGCCCCTGCCCCATTCAGCAGCAGGCCCACATACTCCCTAAATCGTCCTTCTGCTGCTGATACACTTTGAGGAGCCATTCTTGTTGCTGTTCACATCCCTTGCCAGAGTCAGCTCCATGTGGTCTTTAACTTTCCTAACCGTATCCCTGCATGTTCAGATAATGCTCTATATTCAACTGGGTCACATGTCCACGATTCTACCTTTTCTATGCTTCTTTTTTATGTCTAAGTTCAGTCAGGAGCTCCTTGTTCATCCAAGCAGTCCTCCTGCCACCTTGACTTGACTTCCTGCTCATCGGGATGAACCATTCTTGAGCTCCTCCATAGTAATTTTACAGATATTGAGAAGTCCATGTCTGCAAGAAGTTACTGCTTAGGTAACAACAGACAGAAATAATATCAGAATTTGATTACTGGTGTAGAGTAGTCTGTTTATTTACTAATTTTGTAGTTTAACCCTGGTAGGCAGCTAAGCCCCACACAGCTGCTCACTCACTCCCCTGCAGCAGGATGGGGGAGAGAATCAGAAGAGTAAAAGTGAGAAAACTTACGGGTTGAGATACAGACAGTTTAATAGGTAAAGCAAAAGCTGCACATGCAAGGCAAAATAAGGAATTTCATTACTACTTTGCATGGGCAGGCAGGTGTTTAGCCATTTCCAGGAAAGTAGGGCTTCATCATGCGTAACAGTTACTTGGGAAGAAAAACACCATAACTCCAAATGTACCACCTTCCTCCTTTCCCCCGCTTTTACGGCTGAGCACAATGTCATATGGTCTGTGATATCCCTTTGCTCAGTCAGGGTCAGCTGCCCCAGCTGCGTCCCCTCCCAGCTTGTTCTGCACTCACACTGGCAGGGCAGTGGGAGCAGAAAAGGCCTTGACACTATGTAAACATCACAAGCTATTATGAAGAAAATTAGCTCTATTCTAGCCAAAATCAGCACAACTCATGTGTGATTCTAACCTTTTAAATGGAAATAATATACTTACAGCCTGATCAGGTAGATTGTCAGTCTTAAGTTCGCTGTAATGGGAATACTGAATATAAACAGGCTGACCGCGGATGTGAGGTATAGCAAGAGCATAGTAGTTCACCATAGCAATAGCAACTTCTTCAGAAGCCATTTCTAAAAGTGCCTGCAACCAATACACAGTAGTTTTCAGTGTTGTTTTGCTTACAGAAGAGAAAAAAGCAAAGTACCATTTATTTCCAATTCCACTCTCACTAGAAAAATATCAGTAAAAAAGTACGCTACTGATCTGCCTAGCATTAAAATGCATTTGTGTGTGTGTGTTTATGGGGCTATTTGATTTGATCTGTGGGTTTTCTTAAAAGGTTTTACATTGTAAGTACAATAAGTCACCAAAGAAGAGGTAGAATAGGTAGAATAAGTATGATATATGGTAAGCAATGCTGCTAAAAATACCACTAAATGCTAATGAATTCATTAGATTCCTGAATCCAAGCACTATTACCTAGGTAGCAGATACACGTACTGATTGAAAAAAGTAGGATCAAGACACTAAACATCTATCAGTTCGTGCATTGCATCAACTCAGCTCAGTGTTCTAGATAATTTTTGAATTAATCCCTATCATTTTTAGGATTTCAGTGTTTATTCATGATGTGAACTAACCCATCACATCTAAAAGGATTAATAACAAACCTAAGCACTTTATTTCACATTGAAAAATTAACCTGCATGTTAATTATTTAATCAGGCAGGTTATTTCAAGGCATATGTCAACATCAATAGTGACAAGGTAGTTCATCTCTATATATTCTTACATAAAGCAGATATAATGTTTAGCAATATTATTAACAAGTTACTAGATCATTATTTTATCCCAAAGTATACTAAAAACTTAAAGATCAATACACCCTTTCACATTTGAAAATATTAAAATCTTGAGCTATCAACTAAATATTTAGACACTATTGCAGTAGTTTCAGCCCAATGGGTCATAACATGAATGAGATCTTCAGACTTGCTCTTATAATTGAAACATCAAAAATGACATACCTGATTTCGTCCTTTAAGCATCAAGAGATTGGTTACTTTGCCAAAAGGGTGACCTAATGAAATTACTTCTTCTTCAGTAGCATCACTTGCAACTTGATGAAGATGAAGGACACGTGAAGGGGAGCGTGACAATCTGTCTCTTTTAAATTTCTTCCTCTCATTTTCATTATCTAAAATATTTTAGGAAGAGGGATGGACAGGCAAGCAAGACAAAATTATTGCACAGCATAGATACCAAAACCTAAGAGATAAATGGCTGTCTCAGCACTAACATTGACTTATCTGTAGCTCTTTTAATCCTAAGAAAGCACAGTTCATATATAACCAAAGGACAGTTAAGAAGATCCCTTCCACTGTTCCAAATCCTCACTGCAAGGGGAGAGTGTGGTGTGTTTGTTTTGGTTTGGTTGTTTATTCTGTTGTGTTTTTTCTTTTTTAAGTCTTAGAGACAGAGAGGCCAATAAGTCCTTTTTTAAGTCTTAAGACAGAGGAGTTCTTCCCAAATGCCCATGTAACATTTACAAAATATTAATTACACAGAAGAGGGGCAAGTAGTAATTGGGAGGCAATACATTAATTTTTTTATTGCTAACTTATCTTCCTGCATGGTATGTTTCTTAACTAGATTAATTTGCACCTCAAATTTTTTTAATTTTATCAAAGAAAGCCTGCCATCCCACATGATCACAAGTTTTAAAGAGTCTTTGAAAAGGATAGGCAGCAGTGAGGCATGAAGTCCATACTGATTCTAAAGTCTTCCACTTTGGTAAACTGCCTTTTTTTTTTTTAATAACATATGCCTATGTGGATCTTGTAACAGGTAAGTGACCAATGGTAACGTTTCAGGGAGATGCCTCGGAGCACTTGAGAGCACTTTTAAACAGAACACCACATCTGGAACACGCATATTGTTCTAGGAGCTATGACAATGGAGAAATAAGTAAAAATGAAATTGGTTAGTCAACCTACAGATCCCAGCAAGAGATTTTCCTAAAGCAAGCTACAGAGTCGTATGAGACTTGAAAAAAATATCATAAACTAAGAGGAAAGACAGCATATTTGATGACAATTGTATGGAAATCTAACTGCATACCACTTAAGTTAAAGGTAGAAACAGCATTCTTTTTTTCACTTATGTGCCACAAAAAGCTTCACTCCAGCAAGAAAGATAGCCTTAACACCTTGTGTATTGCATTTAGCCTTCTAAGCAGAATCACAAAAGATTAGGAAAAAAATATCTGCGTGAGCTTAGTAAGTAATCCCAGATTTTGCTGTTGGTTTTGGGTACAGTCTGCGTCTGAGAAGCGGTTCATACAAGTCATTCTGTATAAGGATCTTTACAGAGGTTTGGGGTTTTTTCACTAGTGAAAGTGTGTAAAAGTCCAAGATTATCTAAGCCATAACAATGGCACACTCATAAGCAAACTAATCCCTCCACCTGAAAAACAGATTGCATTGATTTTTCCATCAAGAAATTTTAAATGGCATCATGTGCTCTGTGTCCATTCTGAAAAATGTGAACATGTGGCACACCTGTTGGGGAAGAGACTTTAAGACAAACAGAAATATATTAAGCACATACTGGTGCCAAGTCACAACAGGATGTATTACTGTTAAAGCCTTACAACTCATCCTATTTTGACAAATCTACTTTTCAGGTCCAAAATGGACAAGATGTCCTTGATTTAGTAAAGTCAAGGACTGTTTGACTAAAGAAAGCAGGAAACAAAACCTAACAGGAATTTCGCCTTTAGCTTAAGGCGAGAGACTCTCACAGAAGCAATGCCTTCTGGGTTCTGACTCATTATCAGAGGTGATGAGATGCAGCTAAATGGCAAGCACGGCTTTTTCTCTCTACATCTTCACTGACTGTTACAGTTTTCAGGTCAGTAATTCAGCCAAAAAGGACAGCGCTTACCAGAACAGTTTCAGCCTGTGTATATACAGTGTGCATCCTCTATTTCACTATCTACTCATTAGCAAGCACGTTGGCTCTAGTTGATCTGGCTTCCGAACAGTGACCAACACGTGACCTAAAAATGCTATTAAAGTGCTTCTTTTCCTGTTGTGATTATATTAAGTTTTGTGTTGTCACTAAATCAGCAATAAAAGCTAGCACTCATTCCATTCCAAGTATAAAGACCTCAGTATTTTTTCAACCACGCTTCTTTCTCCAGCTATTGTTTGATACTTATTTTGACATGTAACAATAATCATGTGGTTTTTCTGTCATTTAAATTTTAAAATTGATTCAACAATTCTTTAAAGCATGCCCAAGGCAATCCACTTAATTGGATGAGGGTGGTGAGGCACTACGAGAGGTTGCCCAGAGAAGCTGTGACTGCCCCCTCCCTGGTAGTGTTCATGGCCAGGTTGGATGGGGCTTTGAGCAACCTGGTCTGGTGGAAGATGTCCCTGTCCATGGCAGCAGGGTTGGAACTAGGTGAACTTTAAGGTCCCTTCCAACCCAAACCATTCTATGCTTCTATGAAAGCCAAAACTGCTTTCAGACAGACAAAGATAAGAAAAGCCTTATGAACAAGGAGAAATTTGGGACCTGGTGTTACAAAGGGAAGTTCATTATAATCATGATTCATGACATATTTCCCAAGTGAGTAGCCTCAGATCAAGAAACCCAAAACATATTTTAGATATGTGACCCACCAGACAAAAAAACCCGCTGCAGGCAAAGCAGTTGTATTAGGTAAAGAAGTGCATCTCAACAGAGTTTATATAAACCCAAAATGAAGTATAGAGTTATCAGTGAGAATCAGAGGGGTTTTTTATTTATTAGGAGACAAAAACATCTATCTCATTTTAAAGTTTAATATCATTAAGACACCCTGGATGTCACTATGAAGGATCAGTTGCACTAGTAATTGATGAAAGCCACTTGAACTCAATGCAAATTTATATTCCTTGCCAGCTGCTTTCTTCTCAAAAAAAATACCACCTACACAGGCCTGAAATATATTTCAGCTGTTAAATTATTGAGTTATAAGCTAATGCTGTTTCAAGACAAGCAGAAGCCTCTGGACATCACACTGAATCAATCAGCAGTATGAAAAATCTGACATGTGGAAGTCAAAGAAATCAAAGAAAAATCTTCAAGTTAGCGCCTCAGACTCTTTCTTCCCCTTATTCCCTTATCAGAAATATAGCAAGTCAGTCTTAGATGCTTATCAAGAGGTCATCTGCTCTGTCTCTTGCCCCATTATAAAATCAACTATTTGGAAACACTGCTGACCGGCAACTGTCTATGTCATGAGCTAATTTACTTTACTTAAGTTAACTTATGCAGCCATGGGCCATTAACACTTCAATCCCACCTAAGCTGAAAGTACCTCTAAAGGAAGCAGTCCTAGCTTTCTCTCACTTGCAACTTTCTGTCTGATTTAACACTACAGGTATCCAAATACACTTACATCATCTTTCTGAACACATGTAGTGGGGCAGAGCACAAATTTCTTTGGATGGTAGAGCTAGTTTAACATGTTTGAAGAAACATGTGGCTGTGGTTTCACACTGAGCCGTCACATTGCTTAAATAGACCAGTTTCCTTACCCTGCATCTGTCTGTCCAATTTTCCATCATCTTTCCAAAAAAACATTCTGCTGAAGAACAATATGTGCAGATATGTAGTGAATCAGATCAAGAACACATCTGATCAATTAAAAAAAAATTTAAAAAATCATTTTCCCTACTGCTTCCCTTTTTGAAAACACTACCGTTTATCTCAACCCATGGAGAGGTTGTCTGGGGACAAGAAATGGTAGGAAAACATTTAAAAACAAATCACAGGACTGTCTGTGCTGCTCCTCAAGAAGTTCTGGAAGTAGGGTAGAAAGCAGGAACAAGAACACCCAAGGGAATCAGCTTAACTCTTTATCACGAATCTACATAATGTGCCCTGTGTTCCACCAAACTGAGATCGATATAGGATATTAATCTTCTATCTGTAATCGTGACAGCCTTGAAATACTTCAAAACAAACTCCATTCAAATGCACAGCTACAGGAAAACTGAGTAGGCACTTGAGAATCTGTACAGAAGGCTACTTGATTATAGAAAGTATCATGTACACAGAATCATAATTATAGAAAATAGATTTTTTTTCTGACCATTTCAACTGATCAGTTTTAGAGGTCCTCAATACTGTCATCGAATTGGATAGATTTCAATGGGTCTACTGTTGGGAGTCAGATTACAGTTCAGGCTTGCTGAGTCTGCTCATGGTAGCAATAAAGAATATAAAGAAATACATTTACAGAAACAAAAAAAACACTGTTGAAGAAATGTGATAAAATGTTTGGGTTTTTTTTTAATGTATACCTGTATCTTGAGTAGATTTGTCCATGGTAAAAGGCTTGTTACTGACACCAGAAAAGAGAAGCTCGTCAGGTCCACGCTAAAAAAAAAAAAGACAAGATTACTAGTAAAAGCTGTTACAAAGAAAGAGGTTTGATATAAAACTGTAATAACTCCATTAATTTATTCTTCCCAAGAATAGTCCCTTTTTATACACATTATCCACTATTGCTGTGAACTTATTTTTCAAGGAAAAGAAATGCCCACCACACAACTTATCCTATCGTCTCAAGATGTTAGCAAGTTCAGCTGTGTTACACTTCTTACTACTTTTATTATTTATCCCACTACAGTTTACCTTTTAAAAGATCAAGAATAACAAATGCTTATGAAAACAAATGAGCTGGCTGCAGGCTATGGGTCTGCAATACAACATTGCTTCCAGATATAAGTAAACAGACAGCCACACAGATAAGGTCAGCATTTGTGACTGGACATAGTGGACTTTGAGTAAAACTAACTCAAGACATATTTCAATATACATACGGCACCTTTTTTTAAACCTAATCCTTGTCCTAGGAATTTGATTTAGAAAAAATACTGAAAAATCAAAGCATATGCTTTAAGAATCCTGACAATTTGAGCCTCTAACAACTAACTGAGTAGAGTTTGATCACTACAGGTTCTTCATTCAAAAATTAGCACCTAGCTGCCAGCTAAGACTGTTTATTCCTTATGATTGCTGTAGTATGCCAGCCAAGCAACAGCTTCAACATGTCAATCAGAAACAAAGTACCACGTCACCTCCGAAAGGTAGTTAAGGTTCCTGAAACTTTCACCACACTTTTCCATAAAAGTGTTTTCATGAAAAAGTTAAGACTAAGGGAGTAGTTCTACAAGATGGAATAAGCTGGTCCAAACAGCTCCTCACCGCTTTGGTGGAAGTAGAGGTTCCCATTGCCCTTACTCCATATTTCCACCTGCTCGTGGTCATGAGCTGTTTCTCCTGCACCAGCTCAGGTGCCCAAGAGATTTTCCATGAGATGACTCAGTCCTGCAATTGGCCAGCACTCTATGCTGAGTTAGGCTAGTTTATCAACTGAAAGAGGGGTTGAAAATTGCCAAGATCCAGTGTGAAGAAAGGGGTAGGGGTACTTGAAGAGGAGACTGACTAAGAAAACACCCTTTTGGCAGCCACAAGCCATCATGCTGCTTGTAATCGCTGTGGAAGTACCACTCATAGATGACTGGTTTATAAGCTGTGTGTGCTTAAAGGAGCAGTTTGGATCTTTTCAACCTTGCAGTTAACCATGTGGTCCTGATGCTTCCTCAGTGTTGGAAAAGTCATTCACAACAGAAGGCTGTGACCAGGTTAGGATGATGAAAAACCTCTTCAACCAAATTTAAATGCTCATGAAGAAGCACAGGTGTTAGCGTGGGGTGGAGGAAAACAAGACTGTGTTCATTCCTCTCTCTCAGCAGTACAGACTTATTGTTAACCATGAAACTGCATCTTAACAGTATATTTAAACACAGCATCTAATTGTGGCACACACTCTGCAAAATCATTTTCATATTAAAAAACATATAAAGAATATATTTTAAAGACATTCCAATTATAATTGTTTTCAGTTGCTACCAATTAAATACATTTGCAATAAAAATAGAGGCTAAGGTAAAGAGCAGCCTATTCAGCTGAGCAATAGAGTACACCATACATCATATAGCCCAAGTTATCCTTCTTTGGATGGTCACATTTTGAATTATTCTCATTAAATTTTAAATGGTTACTAGACATCTAATACATGTCACAGTCTATTTGGATGGATACTGGAATTAATTAACATCCAAAATCAGTATTAATTTTTAGTTATTAGAAGTATCTTGAGTATGCCAGCATTCACATATGGAATGCCTGAAAAGCGTATTCTGATTGTAAAACTTATATCCTGCTAATTAAACAAAAGTAGCAATATGTGCAACTAGTAAGTGGTAGAAAGTATTAAGGATGGTCTTTTATTAAGCCAGCCCTTCCTTTTATTTGCAGGAGTGCAGGAAAAAAACCCAAACACTACTGCTTTAACTCCAGTTGTGGGGGCTTTTAGCTTGTTTTTTCACTCAGAATTTATTCAACAGAAGAAATATCTGCATTTTTCAAAAAGGCTGTGAAAAATCCTGGTGTTTTAGCACACCCAACTCCAAGAGTAGGTCACTTTTTTGAGCAATTTGTAGCTATTTTGTGGTTTCATGATAAAACCTGGTCCCAAATACATCCATTATTATTTTGGCAGATAAGGTAATTTCAAGGACTTAACACGTATTCTTACAATTTCATATTTAATTTTATATGCACTGATATAAGAAAAACCACAGCAGACTTTTTCAGAAAAAAAATTTCCAACCTCTTCTGTTTTAAAAAGTTGTCTTAGTTGATTCAACTCAGAAGTCAAACAAGCATCTTAGTGCAGAAACTAGAATCTTCTATTTTGACAAGCTATGCACTTAGTTTTTGCAGAAGACATGAAAATATATAGTGGCAAGATTTTTACAAATTGGTATAGGTTGTCTAGGTATTAATTTACAAATGAGAAAAATCTGTAAATTATTAACTTTCAGACACATATTTCATTAAATTTATAATTTACAACAAATTATTTGCTTTCAACTTCAATTTTACTGCTTGCATCAATAACTCACAGCATTAGATACTTTGTAGGTTCGGCACATGAAAACGCAACTCAAAATCTGATACCGATTTCTGGGCAAAATTTTTGGAGAATATCACAGAAAATATTATCTGATCATGAGGATTTACAGTAGAACACCTTGATGAGCAGAGAGATCTTAAAAACAAATTGAAAAGACCAGAACTTACTAGCACAGATAATACAGAAAGTCTATATATCAACCATAATCTGAAAGATAATTCAGCTTTCTCAGAGCAAGTTCTATCATATTCCAAAAGAAAATGTATGTAACCTCCTCAAGAAGTACTCATCCTTTCTAGGCCACCCCATCACTACAGTTTCATCCAGTAATAATATTGCTTGTGGGATTGTGCTGTAAACCAATGAAGCAATTCCAGGTTAAAAGGACACACATACACACACAGAGAAACAATTCAGAAGGCTGCAGCGATCAGTATTACAATTCTCTGTAGAACTGTCCTGTATCCATACAGCTGAAGCTGTAGCTCACTGTAGCACAAAACGCTTTGGGATGGGGGACTAAACTGGCTTTGACAGGGGAAAGTTGAAACCACAAAATTACAACCTTCAGTGACAACATGTGCCTGTACCTACACTGATCATTCAATCACCGTCTCCTAAGACAGCTCCCTAGATTTTTCCTTTCCGCTGACAACCATTAACCAGGTAATACAGCAGCCAAAACACAATGAAAGCTCTTCTAAACCCCAAGCTTATCACCTAGTCAACTAGGTCTAATAAAACACTAGCAAGGCTTTGATCCTCTTACAATACAGGGAACCATCATCATTACAAATGTATAACTGCCTTCATATCTTCAATTTGATAGAAGGAGGATTTTAAGATGAACGTCCTTTTAACTGTGTTTATGTTAAAAAAACAACCAACCAGTAAAACATTACATCAAGGCATCTAGAATAGCTGGCCTGCCACAGTCATGCTAAGTCTAAAGACCTTATTACAAATCTTAGTTTCTTACAACTACAAGATTAATGTAGTAATTGATAATTACTTCTTCCAGCGCAAAGCTACACTCACAGAAAGCAGCACCATAGTTCTTTGAGTCTCAGAAGGGCTGTACCAATTACACAGTGTATAATGCTTCTTTCAGACCTGTGGGAAATGTAGGTTAAGTGGAACTGTTCAACACAAGGACAGCTACCGGGCCAGGGCTGGAACATGCTCCTGTGTTCCCTCACTCATCCCACCATTCCAAACACATTAATGATCTCCTAACATGTTAAAACTGCTTTTTCTTAAACCATTAAGACTTTCCATCTCTCCTATTTCAGAAAACTTTTTGCATTCATTTGGGATTAAGTGGTGATAGCTAAGATAAGAACAGTAGAGAACCTTATAGCGAGTTCAAATTTATTCTTTCCTTTAATTATTGAGTAGGAATTAGAAACCAGTTGCTTGGAAAGCATAATTTGATTCTGGACATTTCTTTAAAAACAGGTAAAATTTATAATGCCGAGTAACCAGTCCAGTAAGAAGCCTCTAAAAAGTGTAGCATTCAATGACAGGTTAATGAAATTAATTATTCTTCTGTATCTACCATGGTCAACTTCCCTGACTAAATAAGACATAACACAACTTCGGACTACAGCAACAGATACCTTTCCTGAAATTACTTAAGCTATTCTATGATGTTTAAATTTCTGGTAGTAATATATGTTAATGATTCTGCAATTCAAGTATAAAAAACACTGCACTCAGTGAAGAGGTATAACAAACATCTGAAAGTCAGGCAACTCTAGATTTCTGAAGTTTTTGTGAGTCACATGTAGACTGAAACAGGAGGGTAAGTCTGGTGCTATAAAATACTTCTTTAGAAAGCGTCCATTTGTCAAAACTATGGCAGGTAACTATTTAGCATTACTTCTGGAATCAACGAATCTTATAAATAGCCTTTTAATTTTTAAAAAGTCTGTATGTGAACAAGACCACCTTTTTTCCCCCACAACTTTCAACTGCAGTATTTTCCTCTTCTCTTCCTTTCTAGCCACAAATTCTTCAGCACAGTTCAATTAATTACAAATGGAATAGTCTCAGAGAAACTTCTATTTCATCTGAAATACATATTGTTTTTTTTCCTAGAATATAGCTAGTCATCTTTCTAGACTATTACATCTAAGTTAATAACAAGGAAGACTATGATCATAGCTTTTTACTATGAGAGCGCTAGAACAACAAAAAAATGGCCCAATTTTAAGGAAAAATAATTATTTCAAAAAGCACCTTTCTCCCTGCATATAAATTAAAGTTTTGTACATTTTTTTCTGCAAGATTCTACATGGCAACAAATTGCTGTTCCAAAAAGGTATACTTTGAAACACAAGTTTCAAGCTACAGCAGTGAAAAAATATTGTTAAATGTAAAATAACTGTTC